ATTTTGTCATCTGGCAGATGTAATAAACATTTATATTTTAGGGATTGGGTATGGAGTCTTCAAAACGAAAATCGTATAGATCTAATAAAAAAAGCCCTAATAATGTGAGGTCTTTTGTACATGAAATACTTTCACTGTTGTTAAATAATGCCACAACTGACTTACCGATAAATGCTGAGATATGGGGCGTATAGCAAATATCATGATTTTAGTATGATTAGTTCTTAAGAATAGTAACTGATGATGATATTTTCAAATTCATAGGGGTGATGTGCAGCCAGCGCTGAAAGAAAGAACTCGAAAAAAGAGCACTGCACGCAGACTTTACTGTAGTTATACACTGGGTATCTTGAAACTTGCCGACCAGATTTTTTTACAAGCCAGGCAAGAATGTAATCATAGAAAATTGAATAGGTTTGCAAAAGATTCTATTAATTCTACAAGAAAACGTTTAGAAATATGGCAATAAAGATGATAGAAGTATTCGCAATAAATGTTATTGGTATGTATAATGATATAAGTATTATATATTTGAATGTTTCTAACATATATTCTTGTAGATGATACGTTGGAAGTTTGATGTATATGTAAAGAGTCTGGGATTTATAGGAATTGTTTGCACGAACGAGCAAAAATCCATTGAGTATCATAACTTCAGAAGACGCTTTAGAAGATATATACTCTTTGGTCAATGTGCTTTGACATTTAGGGCAGGTTCTATAATATTATTAAATTTATTAAAATTATAACTCACCACATTTCATGCTGTGTACGTAAAATACAATACGCTAAAGGGAGTGAATATGATGATGATTCTGATGAAACCACATCAACGGTTTCAACACCACCAGGTTCGCCGTCAAGAACCAGAAAGGTAAGTGATGTAACCCCTTATCTTTTTACGATAAAGTTAGCATTCGAATGTTTCATGTAACTCATCAAAGTGGTACTTTTCGTTTGAATAAGTTTACTTGAAAATAAAACTGGTGTTCAAACGATTTATTAGATGAGGTGAGTCACTTTTGCTTTATTATGTATTATACCTTAAAAGTTGTAACATTTTAATCACAATTACATTTGAGACAAACTGGTGAGAGGGATTTCTAACATTTGAATATATAAATGTTTTACTTTTCATCAAAGTTAAATCTGCGTACGTGTAACAGTATAATAAACTTTTAACTTTTCGCTTCTTACATAATCTTACATCAAAAATATCAGATATTGTTTTCTAGGAGTTATAAATAATCGTGTTAACGCGAAAAAGTATAATATGTGAACCTTTACAAATTTTGCTACATCAGGTCATATTCTTTATTAAAGAAGCGCTCATATTAAAATCTCGAATTTTTTTTTTAAAAAAAAATTTTTAAGAAGTGGTTCGAAATTTATCGTATTAAAATTGGGTTTTTGCCAAAAAGCTGGCGACATCGAATTTTTTGTTATTTATAGTAGGGGATAAGATATAAAGTTATATACAGCTTAGCACCGAATAATTAATCTAATATAAAACTAACATAAACAAACAATACACAATTATAAATAAATATATCGATATATATATATATTATCCAATACACTATTTAATAATATAATAATATAATAATTTTTATAATGGTAATATGAAAAGAAAATTAATTTTTTTTAATTTGTAATGGTATAGAACGATCAATTGATTTAGAAAGTAGCAGTAAAGATAACCATATAAGATCATCTTAGGAGCATTACTATTTTCTAACATGCCAACCAAATCTGAAGAATTATGATTATAAAATGAACAGATGATGAAGACAATGCCAACCAAATCTGAAGAATTGTGATTATAAAAATGAACAGATGATGAAGACGATGCCAACCAAATTTGAAGAATTATGATTATAAATGAACAGATGATGAAGACGTATCCTTTTCCTGAACAAATCGACCACCCTTTAACACGTATTGTATTTTCTCGACATTTGATTTAACATTTTGATCGTTATTGACCTGATCAATACGTATTTTCTAGGGTATGAAAAATTATTAAAGAAACCTCTTGTGCAATCAAATATCTTGTAATTTTCAATTCAAGATACCTGTGTTGTCTCTTCATTATTGGGATATCCGTCTTGAGATAAAACTGTGCTTTCATCAGATGTATCTTCGTCGTGTATTTCGGTTATATCCTGTTTTTTCGGTTGCAACTCTTCATCAGATTCTTCTTGACAATTAAAAACACAATAACTGAACCCTTCATTAAGTTCTATTTCCATCTCAAAAAACGCATCTGAATTCATATTCTTAGGAATAACAGAAAATGCATCAATACGTATACGTTCTTCGTTAATTGTTGTTTCTGTTTTACTGCATCGTGCGTGATAATTTTCGGGAACTTTGAAGTCGCTTGGCATAATTTTCCAATTTACAAATGGGTTATTTTCAGCATCAACTTTTATCCTTATCATACGAAAACGATCACATTCTGGTATCGTTGAATCAACAACAATTACAGGGTCTGCGACCTTTGTTCATGCAAAATATAAAAATTTTTAAATTTTGTTCAATTATATCAAAATTTTACTTATGATCTTTTTTAAATTTTGAAAATTTCTTACTTCAAAATCAATGTTAGAAGAATACGTGTTTCCAATACAAAGTTTTCTCGGTTGTTTCTTTGGAGGTGGTGCGATAACAATTGTTTTTTCTTGTTGCAAAGGCTTATTAATAATATCTTTATTATGTTGAGTATATGGGTTATCCGGTGAAAAATTCATATTTAATACATTTATCTAACTTAATATCAAACTATCATAACAGGCCGAGTTACTAAAAAAAATTGAGAAAAAGAACACTGCAAGAACGATTTGTGATCTGCGATTTATTTAAGTGAAATAATATCGATATTGATTTAATTTACTTATATTAATTAATTAATACGTATATTAATGACATATACAGGAGATTAACGAGTAACGTGCAATCAATAAGCAAGGATAACTTATTAAATATCTTTAAATTTGATTATTAACCGAAGAAAACCTATTGTAATGAGGCTTGAATGCGTAATTATCGTAATTACACTTGTACTTTATAATAAATTATAAATTGATAATATAATCCTGTAATCTAGGCTAATAGTTGCCCGTGCAACCAATCACAATATATCAACAAATATAAACATATCAAATAAAGAATCTTGGTTGCTTGGCTATTGTTGAATAGAATAGCGCACATGAGACCTTCTCTTTACGCCATTATATAAAACGATTCTAGAATCTTCGACCTACAAAGTTGCGCAGTAAGAACTCACTAACACTTCTTGAGCATCTCAATTCTATACTCAAACTGTCACACCATATTTAGTGTTCGAAAAGATACTTTTTTGATACTATTTCATATGTATGCACATGCGTACGTATGTAAGTAAGTACGTTATTTTTTTCCGGTAGGCTCATTCCGTGATTAGAATTAACTTATTAAGCTTACATGAAAATGAATAAGTGAAAATTTCCGCCCAATGTCTATGTAACCCTATGTAACCGTCTTTCTGAACGGATAAAGCCCATATTCGTTTGTATAAATTACCGTTATAGAATTAAAAATTATTATCCGTCGAATAAATTTAATACGTAATGTGGATAAAAAAATAAGGAATGCTATGATGTAGTTTGCGAAAATATTGATTAAAAGTTCGGCGAGAACAATTAGCCGTAAATAAATATGATGGAAATCTTGACGTTTGTTTCAATCTTTAAAGTGCATGAATTCAGTATAAAGATTAAACACAATAATTTTATTCTTAAATAAATGTACAAAAGTTAAAATAATTTTAAAATTGAAACAATTGTTAAGGCTTTCAACACCATATAAAAAACAAATTAACTGGCTTAATTATTGTAATAAATTCTCGATTTTAACATATCTTACTTTTTGTAGTCTAAAATATTATGTAATAAATTCTCGATTTTAACGTATCTTGTACGTAGTCTAATATATTATTTTATGAGAAAAAATATTTTTTTTGCACACTTCTCACGGCAGTGCATCCCTAATTAGCCAATCAAAATTTTAGGATTTTTGTTTTTTTAAAAAAAATTTAATGTAACGTAATACAAAAAATCTTACACTTTAGTTTAGCCACTCCAAATTGATTCTTTGTTTAACATACCATTAAATAGTTCATAAGAGTGGAGGAAAATACACTAACTAAAAAAAAAACACAGCAGTTCTATTGGCCGTAAAAAATATAAAAAATAAAAAAAAAATAAAAAAAAACTAATACTACCATTTGATTGGTTAATACTGTGTGTACTTTTTTATAAAATAATATTGAAAAATAGAGAGGGGAACTATGTTAACCAAAGAATTAAATTGGTCTGGCCTTACTTTAGTTGGCTAATTCAGTAATTAGAGAAAAACTTGAACCAACTACGTATTCGCATATAGTATATAAATTATAAATACATAATAAAGATTTAAGGAAAGTTATATATATTCATAACATCATGTTACATAACACCTAATATATAATATATACTACATATTAAATATATATTACCCTATAAACTATATACTATACTTACCCTAACCCAGTTTATATACGGCATTCATCATAACAATGCAGCAAGAGGATTAAGATTTTTTTTATTAGATTCGATCGCTAGCATACGTCTAAAATTCTATTAATGATTTACTAGTTGGATTCTATAGAAGCAATTTAATAAATTTTTCTTCTGCTCTAAAAAGTTTCTAATAACGTATATTTAATTTGATTAAATAAAAATCAAATTTTAAAAAAAAATTATAAAATTTATAAAATGTTATTAAACCACCATTGTCTATTAACCGTAAAAGTATTTCTTTTAATAATTTAACCAGTGATTTTTATAAAATTGAATTATTAATTCAACATTGCTAAGAGTTCTTTAAAGTTCAGATTAAATCTTTAGAAACAAACAGTACACCCGATGATGAATAAATACAATAATGTTTTTTCATTCCATGAGATTTTTTTTTTTTTGAATTAATTATAGCTTAATTGATTTTAGGCTTTTCTAG